TTTATCTATTTTTCAAACCATAACTGTAAATCTATGTTTACATGTTTAGGAGGTTAACCTCTTAGAGATGCTAAGCTAATTTTGAGCCAAATGAAGTATTTAATAATAACTGAAATGAACTCATTTTAAAACTACTGTGTCTTCAGTAAAAATATTAAAATATTATAGAAAACATAAGACTTTAAGTCATGCAAGTCATGTCCTTCTAGCACTTTGAGGAAACTGTAGAAGCATAAAGAACACTTTAATATATACTACACTACCCTGTACTTCCCCATTTATAATGTCAGAAGAATAACATTAATAATAATAATAATATCCTTAGCTGTTCCAAACTGTCACTCAATTCCATGCACTGCCCACTGCCCACTCCTGATTTCTCAGAGTTTTCTTAGCATCTCAGAAGCTAACCTGAACATAAAGACTAAGTTTCTTATGTAAGAGTATTTAGTGTTTCTTATAGTAAAGAGCAAGAAGAAAACCCTAAGGAAAAAATCCTTCGGGAAATATTGTGGATATCCTAGATATTTGTAGGTATCCAAATATTGAGACTATCCTGTATAAAGTGGGATATGGCAGACAGTTGCTTCTGAAGATAAGGTGAATGTCATACAGTACTAATACCACGATGTAAACAGTTTGAGGAATGCGGTACATTTCCTTGGGAGAGGCACCAGCGGAGTCACCTGCTCCTCTGACCCTGACCTCCAGAGCTCTATTGTGGGTGTCACGAGCAGCTTCCACAATGCAGTCCTTCTCCTCAGGCATAGTTTTATTTTATTTTATTTTATTTTATTTTATTTTATTTTGTTTTGTTTGGTTTGGTTTGGTTTGGTTTGGTTTGGTTTGGTTTGGTTTGGTTTGGTTTGGTTTGGTTTGGTTTGGTTTGGTTTGGTTTGTTGTTGTTGTTGTTGTTGTTTTGTTTTGTTTTCTCGAGATAGGGTTTCTCTGTATAGCTCAGCCTGTCCTGGAACTTACTCTGTAGACCAGGCTGGCCTCAAATTCAGAAATCCGCCTGCCTCTGCCTCCCAAGTGTTGGGATTAAAGGCGTGAGCAACCACTGCCCGGCCAGGTATAGATTTAGAAAGAGCAGATTTGTTTGAGACTTGAGGAAAAAAATGTCTATTGGAAATAACCTCAGAAAAGTCTCAAGATCTAGTAAGAATGGGCCGTTTAGTTTTGTACCATCCACTGTGCTAGTTTGTTCAGAGTTGTTACTGAACAAATCTGTAAGGCTTTCCAATCTTGACCCATTCTAACTAGCTAGCTGAGGGGCCCATTGGTAGCAGGAAGACAGCAGCCTTGTGAAAGTCCGCCGTTCTGGATCCATAGGGCTCCAGTCTCTCTTTAGTTACAAGCTCAGCTTGGTCCCAGAAGAAGGCTTCTCGGGCACTTCCGTAATTATAGTTCTAATAATTTAAACGGTTGTCGGGATGTTCTTCTTAGAACTATGATTCTTGTGACTGGGAGATCCTGAGCGGCCTCTGACCAAGGCTTCTTTTTGAAAAATATCTGTATGTTGTTGCTAAGGCAACAAGGGCATTCAGCGCAGGACAGGAGTTAGTCTCCATGTGAAAGTATTAATGGCAGCAATGATTGGTGAAACTGGGCCAGAGGCACATTTTTCCTGATTTAGCACATGCTATTTTTTCCTTTTTGTTCTTTGGCCACCTTTTCTGGGGTGAGGAGACCTTTGATGAAGAAAATCTAACCCCAGAACAACAGTGATTGTAGTTTATGAGAGAGACCATTCAGAAATGCAAAGCCACAGACAGGTCCCATCTGGAAGCTCTCACGGAATCTTTGTGAATGCTTTCAGTATAGAATTTCTGTTTGCGTCTATTAAAGATGCAGTGCTTGAAAATACAGTTAGAACGGCTTCTTTTCTCCAAGCGATTTCATTTTTTCTTTTCTATGACTTCACGTGAGCATTACAAACAAGGAGAAATACCCTTTCAACAAACTGTTTCTCAAAGCCAAAATGGATTGTAAGAGGTCTTAGGTGTAATTTTCATATTGTCTATGAGAAACACATTGGTCTTAGGTCAAATAGTCAAGAAATTCAGCATTTTTTTTTCTGAAAGAGGGTAAATAGCGTATCATGGATAAATGCAGACTTTACCTCCAAGGTGCTGATATTTTACCTTACAGCTTCCAAGTAATTCCCAACACAATCTCAAGAACTGTGTGTTGCCGGGCAGTGGTGGTGCACACCTTTAATCCCAGCACTTGGGAGGCAGAGGCAGGCGGATTTCTGAGTTCGAGGCCAGCCTGGTCTACAGAGTGAGTTCCAGGACAGCCAGCGCTACACAGAGAAACCCTGTCTCGAAAAACCCAAAAAAAAAAAAAAAAACTGTGTGTATGTGTGCTTGTGTATGTGTGTTTGAGTGTGTGTGTATCTGTGTGTTTGTGTGTGAGTGTATGTATGTGTGTATGTGTGTGTGTGTTTGTGCATGTGTGTAAGTGTGTATGTTTGTGTGCATGAGCATGTACGTGTGTATATGTGACTATGAGTATGTGAGTATGTGTGGGCCTGCATGTGCATGCTTGTGTGTGTGCCTGCTGCTGGGGATTTGAACCAAAGCCTTTACTAAGTACATGCTCTATCTCTGAACTGCAGCCAAATTCTCTCACTTTCATTTATTTCTATCTTTTATTTTGAGAGAAAGTCTTACAAAACTGGCCTTGTAGTCTTCCTGCCATATCCACTGAAGTAGCAAGAATTATGAACCTAGCTGAAACTGGTAGCTTTTAATAGGCAGCAAACTTTGTGTTAGAGGCAGGAAGATCCAAGTTCAAGGGCAACCAGGGTTCAGGATAAGACCCTGTCAATAAGCATAATAATGATGGTGATAACAGTAATAATAACAACAACAACAACAACAACAAAGTTGTTGAGAGAGGGAGAGAAGGAGAGAGGGAGAAAGGAGAGAGGGAGAGAAAAGTGGGGGAGGGAAGAAGACAGGAACAGTAGGAAAAAATTAAGGGAGGCAGAAAGAGAAGGAGGGAGAGGGTGAAAGAAAAGAAACTCTAAGTGACTTTATGTCATGTATAATTTACCAAACTAAATTTTATAGATTTTATTAATTTAAAAATATGTTTGAAGGCATGCACCTTCAGTCCCAGAACTTGGCAAGCAGAGACAGGTGACTCTCTGTGAGTTGAAGTCAGTCCAGTTTATCTACTAAGTTCCAGATCAGCCAAGGCTATATGAGACCCTGTCTCAAAAACAGCCTCCCCATACCAAAACAAAACAAAACAAAGCAAGCAAACAAACAAACAAATAAGACATAAAGATGCTTAAAGACATTTTCTTGAGAGAAAATTTGATGAAATCACCAAATATTTTTGGGAAGATGACTTCCTTCTTGAACATGCCATGAAAACCAAGCATGGAGCTATAACCTCCTTGCAAAGACTTTCTAAAATTAAAATCTAAAGTTTATGGAAAATGGCTTATTTCTTTAAAAAAAAAAACTAGGTAGAGGGTATATTAAGTGTAAAGAAAAACGATGACATGACATAATGTTATCTTTTTATGGACCTGTCTCCACACACCATCACTGGGTAGCCTTCATCCACCAGCCAGCCCTAGCATGCTTTCTTCTTTCTCAGGTCCTTGAGAGGTTGACAGCCCCGCCCCTGCCCCTGCTACCTTCTCTGTGCCCGCCCCCACGCTCCTGCCCCCATCCCTGGCTCCGCCCCTGCCTCAGGCACACAGGTTATTCGTAGGCCTTGTTTTTCCTTTCCAAAATGACAAAGTGAGACCAGCACAATCCCTCACATCCTTTGTGGCTCATACATTCCGAATTTTTTTTTTCAGTTTCAAACCTCTGTCCTGATAACTGTAGCCTATGTTTCTGTTTTACAAATGTAAAAATTAGCATCTTGGTTGACCAGTGATTCCTAGAAATATGTATACAGTGTCAAAATGAGTATGCTTTTTTTTTTCTTTTTATAGGGATTTTACCTCCAGCTGAAGCAATTTTATGACAACTACTCAGTATTCAACAGAGCCATCCCTTTCCCCAGAGAGAATTAATCATAGGCAAGGACTGGAAAAGACATTTCCCTAGTGGAAGCTCAAGCCTGCTCCTGCTGAGAAGCCCATTCTATTTTAATTTACCAATTAAAAGTGGCCTGGGAAATCTCAGACTGTCATTATCTCATTAAAAATACATCCTCGTCACTCCCCTTCCTCCCTCTGGAGAATTAACACTAAAGCAGCTCAATTGCTCTACAACTTAAAGTCAGCATCATCCTCAAAAGATGACCTTTATCTGGGGTCAGTGGGTGCCGGCTTCTTCTGCAGTTAACAATTGTCAAAAATTCTACACAACTCCCATCATTATGCCTGTGGGCAAGTTACTAAATATTTATCACATCTGTGGGATTTACTGAAAGTTGGGAAGAATTAAAAAATAAATAAAAGTATTGTTTTCTGCAAATAAGTGGCCAGACACAGGTGCTTTAATACCCTCTGCTTCAGAGAATCTTTGGATGATATCTGGCTGTTATTATACCCCTCCTCTCTGTCATGTATGGAATAATGTCACATACATGGGCCTGAAAGTTAAGACGGCTGGTTTCTGTCTTTTTGCTATCCATAAATCCTACATATTACAGCCTAATAAACTGTACGTGGAGATGGTTAATAGGAGAAAACTGGAATGGCTGGAATCATGTTGTCTGGTACCACTTTTCAGTTCCCAGTGAGCCATAAACCCTAGACATTGAGAAAAAGACAGAAACATGTCGAAGAGCCTAGATGATGCCTCAGAGTTAATAACAGCCCTGAATAAGAAAGTAGTAAATGATAAAAGGATGCCTCTGTCTTTCTGTGTGTACTTGAACTTGAATCTGTGCACACACCTGCAGGTTACTAATATTTCCAAAGGCACTCTTCAAAGACTTAACCAATCGTTACCTAACAAAACACACAGTACCATAGTGCACTAGGGAAAGGTACTCTGTCCATCTCCAAACTTTACAAACTTTACCTTATTTCCTTGAAATCCCTTTGGACCTGGATCCCCTGGAGGTCCACCAATGCCCTGCTCCAAGATGAAAACCAAGAGTTAGTTTATGTCCCAAACTAAATGGACAACCAAGACAGGACAAGTAATTCCTTAGGGTCCCTGGGGATCCTGGTGTTAGTAACCAGACTGTGGTGCTCAGGTCTACTTTGGGATCGCATTCCAATGAGAACCTGCGTAGTCTGTGAGTCAAATTCACAGCTTCTAAAACAATACATACTACAAACAAGCATGCTTCTAATGTGATGTTTGCTTCCTAAGCCAGTGTTTTTGAACTTCTTGCTGTGTTGGATTCTACTTTTAGAAAAGATTTTCCCTATCAATCAACTATTAATATAAGTAGGTCATTGAAGCCTATCACTTGCGCTGAGTCTGCAATGGCCACTCACCACCTTGCTCTGGCAATTCCACACCAAAGTGAAGGACTTGGCTAACCAGATATAGCCTAGAATTCTTGGGTTACAACCATAACTTTTAGCTTTCGTAGGGAGGGGTGATTCATTGGCTTGATTTTGTCCTTATGTTTTGTTTTGTTTTGTTTTTTGTTTGTGGTGTCAAGGACCCAGGGAAGGGCTTTGTACTTGCTTGATAACCACAGATCTGTATCTCTAGATTCTTTTCAGTCTTGAAATTACTTCTTCATACGCATCTATTGTTACTTTAAAAGAGACACTTCACTGAAAAAATGATCCAAATTATTTTCTGGAGTCCACAGTATATTTCTAAATTATAGACTCATTCCATGTTTTCAGTTAATTAACTACTTGCACTGAAAGGACTAATACAAATATCTATTTATAGTTTTTATTGGATATTTTATTCATTTGCATTTCAGATCCCATCCCCTTTCCCCATTTCCCCTCCCTAGAAAACCCCTATCGCATTCTCCCTCTTCCTTTTTGCTTTTATACCATTTTAATTACATGCTAGTATTAAGGTCAGTTCTAGTTTGAGGAACTAGCAATACAATAGATGCAAATAGTCAAGGAACAAACAAGACAATAAACAGAAATAGTCAAAGAATAAGCAAGGCAATAAACAAAATTCCATGAACACTCCCGTGATTACTGTTTCTAAGGGCATATCAGGATGACCAAAATATCTGAGCCTACTTCCCTGTCCTAGCCCAAAGTCATTTTCATGTCTGCAGCCTACTTCTTTGTTCTAGCCTAAAGTACAGATCCTTGTCTGAAATTACTTCTTTGTTCTAGCCTAATATTTAGATTACTGCCTGAAATTACTCCTTTGTTCTAGCCTAATGTCAGATTCCTGCCTGAAGCCCACTGCCTTATCCTTGGCCAATGTCATATTTTTGCCAAGCAGCCCATTTTTGTGTCCTTGGCCCATGTCAGATTCTTGCCAAGCAGCCCTAAAAGCTCTCTGCCTCTCCCCCTTTTTTATTTCATAAACAAGACTGAGCTTGTCTTAGGTCATTCTGACAAGAATGCCTTCCTTACCTGTTATGGAATACGCATTGTCAAAAGCAACAAATATTTAAGTAAATAAATATAGACAAAAATGTACAACTCTTTCAACTACATTATAGGAACTATCTACTTCCTTATCATACCTGCCTAACTCTCTCCATACAAAATAGTTTCCATTTCCTTAGCTATTGACTAGATTAGATAAGGTTATTACTGGTACCTGTCTTTAAAGAACGTGGGATAATAAAAACATTAGTAAAGTGGTTTCCAAACATGGCTGTGCACCTGAATCATCTGAGAGCCTTTTAAAAATAATTGATTCATGGCTCTATTTTCTACACACTTTGATTTAATTGAAGATGTGTGAATGGATCAAGGAGTAGTGGTTGTTGCTGAACTCTTCCAAGGTAATTCCAATTCAAACATAGACTTGTTTTTTGCCTCCTTACCTGAATTCCTCTTGGTCCCTTTGGTCCATATGGCCCTGCGGGTCCCTGTGGAATAAAATTAAAATAAGTCTCTCTAAATATTCATCTTTATAACACATAGATTTTAGAGTCCCTCTTCAAACATCAAAGAGAACAAATTGAAATGATTCTAACAGTCCTAATTAACAAAACACCTCAGAGTCAAACTTTGCTTTAATAAATAAACTAAAAGAAAATTTATTTTATATGTCAGTATTTACCCCAAATGTTGGTATGTGGTTCATTTTCTTTTTTCTTTTTCTTTTTTCTTTTTTTTTCTTTTGAGATATTCTCTCTACATAGTTCTGGACACCCTAGAATTCTCTCTGTAGGGCAGGCTGCTCTCAAACTCAAAGATCCACCTGCCTCTGCCTCCTAAGTGATGGGATTAAAGTCATACTACCACCTGGAGATATTTGGTTCAAAGGAAAGAAATTGCTTCATAAAGCTCCTTAGAATGTTCTAGTGGGTATATAAATTCTTGTAGTTAGTAGAATATCATTTCCTTCCTGTAAATCAAAGTCATTAAATCAGTGATGAGTTTGCCTGACAGCTAGATTGTTCTCCATACTTTGGAATTTGGCAAAACACTGTTTTTAGTCATTAATCTTCCAAATTTCAATAGATTCCATATCTCAAAATACACTTACAGTGTGTTTTCTGTGAATATAATGTAGTCTAGATTACCTTTTCCCAGCTTTCTAACTTTTTTCAAGTTATTTGTCAAGAACCAAAATCTACCATGATTCATTACTCATTTCTTAATTTGACCTTAAAATGATGTGTGTTGCTTTAAATAACCTTAGAATTAATATTGATGTGTGAGTTTACATCTTTGTCCTATTCTGATTCATCTCTAAGGATCTAGAAGATGGCTACTGAAGTGGAGACCATAAAGGAGAGTCTGTCTCTTCTTTGTCTATCATATATCTATGGGAAGTAAGAAACTTGATAAAGTTGTTGGCCATGATTATTACCTGACTATATATATATAGTGTCTTAATTTCACTACTTTGACTGCAAGTATATTTGAATATTTTCATCATTTTTTATCCATTTGTGTTCATTTTCTTTTTGTTTTTTCTTTTATTTATTTATTTACGTTTTTGTGTTCATTTTCATCTTAATGTTCTTTATACATTTTTCTTATAAATCTGTGTGAACTCTTCATATCAAGGGAGCCATATTTTATGAACCCTATGTGAACACATATGTTTATATTTTATATCTTAACATTGAGATATACTTGAAATGAGTCATATCTTATAATTGGCTATATTTTCTTTTTGGCACAGAAAATGACGCAGCATTTAATCTTTTAACTGTCTCATGGATTCATTCTTCTGTGCTTCCGTGTCCTTCTCTAATTAGAATGTTGTCATTGTCTCACTTTGATTTACTCTGAAAACAATCACCAAGCCTGCATTCTGCAGATCCATCTGTCTACAGCTTTACAATAGTTTATCAGCTTCCAGTAAAAATCAAGCTATTTAAAGTATGTGGTTCAACAGACCAGTATCATTATTTTATCCTCTTCCTCAACCTTCTGCCATTTTCTCTTGTCACATCCATCCATGCATATAACACAGATGTTTTATATTTAATTATCTTGGTTACCTTCATAGTTAATAATCCTTAACTTGAATGGCAATTATTTTTATTCTATGCCTTTTGTGATTATTTATCATTATACTTTTAGATAAACTGTCTATGTAGTTTGGGTCTATTAGGAAGTCTTTAACATGCTAAGGTCAATGTCTCTAGTTTAAGTTCCTTACCCATATTTATTTTGAACTTAGGTAAACAGTTAATACCACTGACTATGTCTTGCTGTGTCCTCTAAATTTCAAACCTTTATGTCACGCTTCCTATAATTTCAGCAACTTCAGAGTTTTTCACTGTTCTGGTTGAAGTTGTATCAGAAGGTCACTCCAGTGCATCCAACTGCATCTCTCATTGACTGCTGGTTATTCTTTCAACCATAAAGTTCAGTAGGACTAACCTCAAAGGTCAGAATGTCACAACATGGCCTTAATGGTCTATGAAAAGAGTCCTTGGGGTGGTGGATCATTATGTAAGTTATGTATTCTTTGGTTTTTCTACTTCATGGTTTACAGATGTGAAAACTGAACTCCAGATCTAGGAGAGACCCACATAATTCATCCCAGAAACTTTCTCTTGAAGAAACTCAGGCCAAAAGGGATCACAGATGTTAACATTTTAAAAACATGACCCTTACTTTGTCACCTTTCATTCCTGGTTTCCCACATTCTCCTCGTTCACCCTGTAGATAAGTAATAAATAAATATATCAATATATCAATGCATAAATGAAATATTGAGTCTTCAATATTCCAAGTTTTAGGAGGAAAAGTCCTAGTATAATTGCATAAGACAAGACTGATCAATTTCACATCATTTCATCTTCAATATTGAACAGACATTGAACTTTGAAATTTTTTGCCCATAAGTTACCCTAACTTTATTCTACAGTTATTTAAATCAATGGTACTACCTGGTGAGTGTTTATTTGAGATTTGATGAGGTTTGAGAAAGAAAATATGAAGAGAAACAACTGAACATCTACCATATGTAGTGTACCACGTATAGTCATCTGACTCCACATGATTCATCAATAAAAGCAACTTTACATAATCAGATAATGTAAAGTATTTGAGGCATTGTCCCTCATTTGTATAGCTAGCATAAAATTTTACATATAATCACATAGCAAGTTCAAAATAGAATAAGGGTCTAAACCCAGCTCTCCTTTAACTCAGTCTCTGTATTTTTTATAATGCCATACTCCAGTCTCAATACTGATCTTGGTCAGTTAGTAGCATTAGAATAGAAAACTGATAGAAAGGTCCTGAGACCAGACTGTATTATATCTGGAGAAGGCAGCCATGATGAGTTAGCAATATTCTCTAGAGAAAAATGGAGTCCACTGTTAAGCACGATGCATAGACTTCACTATTACACACAGTGTATTATCCTGCCTAGTATATTATCATAAAACTAACATTAAAATTATGCTTTAGAATTTATAACGATATTTTTCTGGTACTATCTGACATTTACTGCTTTTGATAAAGGTTAGTTTAATTTTGTAGACTGAGTATCATGGTAAATAAGCTCTCAAGGTCACTGTAACTATTTCACAATGCACACAAATTTAAAGCATCATATTGTACAAAAACCATAATTTCCACAAGTAAAATGATATGATCAATATTTGTTTATGAGTTTTAAAATCGTGCAAGTAGAAAGGGAACCTCTGTAGATTAACCCGTTCTCTCAGATGTTTCAAACTTCTGATAGTTAGAACTGAAAAGTACCAGCCAATTAGACAGAAAGGACTCAAGTTTCCTCAAAGCGTTTGCATCTGTTGTTATTAAAACTCTTTAGCACCTGAAAATGACTCTGTACTTGTCTTTTTTCTGAGCCTCAAAACAATTCTTATTGATAAAGTAAGAAAACTTGATTGAGGTCAGTGGGTGTGCCCACGCCCTTTCGGGCGGTCCGGGGCGACCGAAGCCCGTGATCTGGTGTGGCGAGGGCGGTGGGCCCCGCCATGCCCCGGTATTATGAAGACAAGCCGGAGGGCGGTGCGTGCTCGGGCGTGAAGGAGGACCTGGGTGCATGTCTGCTGCAGTCGGCCTGTGTGCTCCAGGAAGGAAAATCCCCACGGCAGTGTTTGAAGGAAGGCTACTGCAGAGCTTTGCAGTATTCGTTTTTTGAGTGTAAAAGATCAATGTTGGATGCCAGATCAAGATTCAGAGGAAGAAAAGGATATTGATAACATTATGTTGGAGGCAAGATGAAAACCACCCAGGAGTTTCTCTGGTCCTTAACACAAAAGAACCAGAATGGGAAGCACAGTAGCTGCCGCATCTGTTCGACCTCCGGGCCAGGTGGTCCTCCTAAGAACACCAGAGAAATCAGATCAGTGCCGTTTCTGAATGCTTCTGCTGGGTGAAGTCATTTATAGAAGATCCATGGGACTGAACAACTATGGGCTAAGAACTTACTGTGTTTTGGGAATTGCCTAATGGAGAGATTCTGTTCAAGGATGACTCTTCAGTCAGATTCTACAGAATGCATACAGGAGACCACATAAGGTCCGCATAGATAGTAACACAGAACCTGCTGCCAGCCTCCTACAACTTGTTTCTGGTTCTTGGTTTCAATTTTAGGCCAGCCCTCTCCTCATAAAGGGGTGATATCAGCCACAGTCTACATCCTCAAGATCTGGGCTCCAAAAAGGAGAGTATGAGCTGGCCCACAAATCACACCTACTGAAGCACTATGGTCTTTTCTGGGTCCTATGCTCCTGCTCCATCCTTGGTGATCTTGGCTAGATCCTGGTCTCAGCATTCACAGTCACATAAGATGAGCTATGGGCCTCATCCCTAAACAATGGAATCTGTAGCAAATGGAAAGAACCGATGTTCACTCTAGATCGCAAATGTCAGTGACAGAAAGTGGCTGGGAAAGTGTAGAATCCTGATCATTTTATTTTGACCTCTTGATACAGTAGAGAGCCATCAGGACACTCAATCTTCAGTGTGATCTTGCCATTGAACAGGGAGTCATTAGAACTTCTGTATTGTTCCATAGTTCACTGGGACTAAAGCAGTCCAGGATTGGGAAAGTTCACTTCCTGTTTTAAAGTTCTCGAAGCTGTGAGGATTCCCTAGGGTGTCACCGAGGTCTGCTCCATGTGCTGCCCCCACTGGGGGTGGGAGGTACTGCACCCTTCAGTACTGCCGCCTATGTCCCAAGCTTGGTGTCTGTGTGCAGTGTGGAGGACTGCACTTTCTATGCTAGGAAGCTCAACCACTGAGCCACATCTCCCACTAGTGCTTCAGTTTCAACTGAGAGTAAAATGTGTTTATATGAAATGCCTCCATTTGACTAGATTTAGCTTTATTTGGAAAAAGTCACGTCTCATAATTGAACCTTGAATTATACAGTCCCGTGGAATTTAGAGTGTTCGTGGAGCATCCAGCAGTCAGCACTGTCTACTTCCAGAACAGCCTCATCCTCTCCAGAACCTACCCGTGTTAGCACTCTGCCCTCCTTCCCTCTACTCTAGGTCTGTTAGATGCGTGGAATTATATAGTCCGGTCTTTTCTGAGTTCTGTTACCAAGTTTAAGGGTTTATTCTCATGTAGCATCAGTCTGTGATGTAGTTCTGCTGAGTAGCAGTCTATAGTAGACAGACGCCATGTGTTTCTCCATCGAGCAGACGAGCTCTGAGCTGTTTCTACTTTGGGGCTTTTGACTAATGCTATGCACATCTGTGAAAGAGTTCAAAATGTTTCATTTAATACATGCCTTAGAGTAGAACTCCAGGGTCGTATTATGACAGCCTTGATTATATTTTCTACAGTGGTTTTATCACCATTCATGTTGTCATGAGATCTAGGCTCCAGCACCCCAACCTGTTCATATTGCTGACAGACATTCTGCTTGGGATGAAGAGGCATCTAACTGGAATCTTGGTTTGCATTTCTCTAATGTCTAATAACCTGAGGATTTTTCATGTCTTTACTGGCTTGCTATGCTGCCGTTGCAGAATGCTTATTTAGCTTACAGTCTGGCTTTCAGCTGGGCTAGCTTTTTAGTTTCCTGTAAGAATTTTTTTTACAGTGACTCATCTGTTAAAGATTAATTGGGATTTTTTTCAGCTTGTGGTTTGTCCTTCTCAATCTTTTCAGTTACTCTCTGAAGCACAGTTTTTATTTTTATACATTGCCTTTATGTGTCTTAGCCCAGGCTGGCCAGAAATCCCCAAAGCCTTGAACATGGAGCAAGCATTTTCACCATTGCACTTCCCAGAAGGCACACACTGCTGCTCTTGACTAGAGCAGTTTTCATATTGGAAAACGACAATGTGGTTTTCCTTTCAGTGTACCCTAAGAAACCATTCCTAACCCAAACTTACAGAAGCTTTTATCTTCACTGAAGAATTTTAAAATTTTCCCTCTTACCTGTAGGCCTGTGCTCTCAAAATAATTTTACACAGCTTTATTCATGACCATCTTTAAAATTAGTTATTAAATAAAAATAATAGACCTTAGCATGGTTAAGCATATAGCTCCATATATATCATGTGGAGCACATTCACAGTGCAGTGCAGTGCAGTATGCCTGCACCACTGCATCCACCTCAGAAAATGCACAGGGTGCCCATCTAATAACTCCCAGCCACTGCCAGGTCGCCCCTCCCTGCCCTGTCCTTAGCATACTCTCTCCTCATGGTAATCACCATTCTCTTTCCGGTTTCTGAATTTGAGTACCTTAAGTGCCTGGTACTCGTGGACTCTGTGTGTGTAAGTGTGTGTGTGTGTGAGTGTATGTGTGCGAGTGTAAGTGTGTGAAATACCATAAGGTTCATATCAGGTATCAGAGTCTCCTTCCTTTGTAAGGACAAATAGTATTTTAGTGTATGTTGTATGTATGTTGTATGTATCTTGTTACCTACTCATCCAGCCGTGGGTACCTCAGTTGTTCCCACCCTGGAGCTCCTGACTATGCTGTGAACATGTATATACAAATATCCCTAGGACCCCCCCGCTTTCAGTCTTAGTGTACACGCAGCAGATTGTATGTCATAGGGTAATTGTTTTTACTAGTAGGCACTGCCATAATTTCCATAGCAGCCACACTATTTTATGTTCTGCCAGCAGTGCAGAGATTAGAACTGCCTTTGTCCTGTGAATCTTACTGCTTTTTAGTGGCCATTCTAGTAGGCATTAAGATCTACCAGTGCTTCTGCTTCCTAGTTCCCTGACTACTGATGTCATGTGGTCTATATGCTTGGTGGCCTTCTTTATATATCGGTTGAAGAAATCTTTTTAGGTCCTTTGCCCATTAATAGTTGGGTTGTTTACTCTGGTTGAATTTTTGGTAGTCATAGCCACAAAAGCATTGACCCACCAAACCCAAGGTAGCTGACTATAGCTTGCCCTGGGAATTTTAGCTTTTTGCTCTTAGCTTTGCCCTTTGATGCATTTTGAGTTCATCTTTGTGTGTGATGTAAGGTCTGACTTTCTACTCCTCACATGTGGATGGATATCTAGCTTTGCACGCTGCCCTTTGGTGGGAAAACATCCCACCATGCATGGTGGGGCTGTCTCTGAGCCCAGTCTGTCCTGTGGCTTCTGTCTGCCTTCATGCCAATGCCACTGCTTTGATTACTAGAGAATTATAATAAAAATCTGAAATCAGAAAGTGTTTGTTCTAAAATAAAAATTTGAAATCACAAAAAAAAAAAAAAAAAAAAAAAAAAAAAAAAAAAAAAGAAAACTTGATTGAAGAGGTTCACAGTTTACTTGCATGCTAGCTGCAGTCTTACTAGCCCAGAACCCTTCCTTTAAGCTCTGCTTCTGCTACACTTTATTATCTGTTACTCACTGTGCCACTGGACAGCAATGTAAGGAAATTGCACTAGAATGAAATGCAGGGCATTTCTCCTCTTTAGAGGAAGTCAAACTATGGAAATAGCTAAAAGCACCGTGATTTAGTGATATAGTTTGATGCACTGTACTAAATACAGCAGAAGCCTTGAACTTACTGATACAATGAATCCTTATTCTTATGTAAGCTTTATGTCATTGTATAATGACAACCAAACTGGCCAGACTGTGTACCACACTTTAAGTAGCAATGCTTAAAGAAATGGTCTTGCAGTCATGAGTATGGGTACAAAGCTTGTGTCGGAGCCTTTCTGGGATTCAGTATCTTCATGACATATATGTAAAACAGTGTATTTACATATATATCCCATAAGGCTCCGAGACATATGCCACAGCTAAAACCCTGAGTCTGTTAGACTTCCAAGTCCATGTCATTAATCACCCCATAGATCAGCAAGGCACTCTGTCATGGGCCATAAGTTACTTTCCATTCACCTGACCATCTACATAGGACAAGGCCTGAGATCCTATCACTGGGAGTTGAAGAGAGGAAGGTGCATCTCTCACAACCAGCTATGTTCTGCTCAAAACTGATTTATTCTTGCCAGAACTTGGAAGTCAAACTGACCCAGGAAAAACTGAGTTCTCGCTGAGAACAAAGTCAAAAATTTATTTGAAAACGTAAGTGGAAAAAATCACTCTTGAAGTCCCAATTAGGGCACAATTAATTTCCTAATGTTGGATGGGAACGAAATGAGTCAACTATCAAAATATCAAACAGAAAAGTACCATAAATACACTCAAAAGTCTTTTGGCCAGAATTCACATTCCATTGGTCCCCAGACAGATTTGTTAGCAATAGGGTTCTGAGAAACAGCATTTGTTTTGTGGGTGGATTCCTATCAATGAAAATATTGTCTCCATTTTTTCCCTCAGCAAAGGCTTCCCTGCCCCCACTTTTTGCTGGGCTCATGAACGCCGATAGAATGGCCACAATCACATAAGTAAATGCTTCAGACAACTTTGAACAGATCTGCCCTATCCAAGCCCTAAGTTTCTAACACTGATTAAATCTTGTTCTCAATGTCCACAGACCTGCACTACTTTGCTTTGACAGCTTGTAGTTTTCAAGTGTAAACTCTTGCAGTGAGTCTAGAGTCTATAATTCCACAGAAAGGTAAATTTATCTTTATACACACACACATTTAAATCAAGATGAGGAAGCTCATCCGTACATTTTCCTCATCAATTTTTTAAATATCACAAATGTCAGCTTTATTAATATCTCACTTGCCTCTTCACAATAATATCTTATATTTTTGTACCAACAAAGTTGCCAATACATTGTCACCCCCATTATTCGAATTATCCAGTAAGTATGTAAATCACCCTTGCTTGTATTAATTCAGTTCCATGTAGAAGAAGAAATAGTCACCGTGGTCTCTTGAGTTGCTCCTGTTCTTCTAGATGCTGAGTTAGGACACATAAGATGTTCCCTTTCTCTTTTAGGTATAACAGTACTGGGGCTGAACTTACAGGCCTATGTGTAGGCTTTCCCCTACAATTTGTGGGGCCCAGATCCAAAAAATACAAGTAGACACTCACATACCATGTTTCTAGATAGTTGAACATTATAAATCAAACTATCAAACTCTTCCAGTGAAAATATTCCACAGAATATTTTCTGTCTCCCTACTTGAAAAATGTACTTATAGGGACTGGAGAGAGGGCTCAGTGGTTAAGAGCACTGACCGCTCTTCCAGAGGTCCTGAGTTCAATTCCCAACCACCATATGGTGGCTCAAAGCCATCTGTAATAGGATCTGATGCCCTCTTCTGATGTATCTGAAGACAGCCACAGTGTACTCATATAAATAAAAATAAATAAGTCTTAAGAAAGAAAGAAAGAGAGAGAGAGAGAGAGAGAGAGAGAAAAGAAAGAAAGAAAGAAAGAAAGAAAGAAAGAAAGAAAGAAAGAAAGAAAAATGTACTTGTAAAAAGGGGCTGGGGATGCAGCCCAGTTGACAGGGTGCTTGCCAGTATGCTTGGAGTTATAGGTCTCATCTCCAGCACCAGATGAACCAAAAGTGTCAGAGCATACTTATAACCTCAGCACAGGAAGTAAAGGCAGGAGGAACAGAAGTTCAAAGTCACTCTCACTACATAGCAAGTTGGAGGCCGGTCTGGGATAGGTAAGAGTCTGACTCAAAAAAAAAAAAAATCAAGCTAAGAACAACAAATTGCTTAAATATTGATGTAGCCCGGGCCCCAAACCCGAAGCTCTTAACTTACTATTCCTGTTCTTCCACAAAAAGAGAAGCTATAAGTCTTAAAGTTCAAGTAGTAAAACAGAGCTTCCTGCATGATTCCTACTCTTGCTACAGGCACCTGCATTCCATTTGTGAGAGGGAGCCACACCTTAGCTCCCTCTCAGAACCAGGAAGTAGCTGATATGGAAAAGAGGTTTATGGAAGACCAAAAGACTGAGCAGGCTTCAGTCATTTTGCAGGAACTCCTAGACTTTTGTCTAGCAAACAGAAACATGGCACAAGATTCACATACTGCAAACTACTGACTTCTTTGGAGATGGGGACAAGAATACCTTGAATAGAACCCACTAAAAGTTGCAACCCCACTGTCCAGGTCTATGGCCTATGCTCTATAGACTAGAATGGATGATAGGAATATTTTCTGATTTCAACCAGAAAATCTGTTACTAGAGAACTCTGGAATAGATGTATCAGTGGACCACTGGGTACTCATAGAGATTCCTGCACACAGTGAAACGTTTGAATTTTTTTGAAGCATTTTAATTTCCTACTTTGTAATGTTCAAATAATCATGAAGTCATCTACCAATTTATACCTTTTGTTTACATATTAAACCCTCTTTCTCTGCAAGCTTTTAGCTCCTTGTGATCAATAAATCTTTATTGCTTATCCAGAATCAACCTTCCTTTCCTCTGGGAGGTAGCCAAGATCTGAGTTATCAGAGACCATAAGCAACAATACAGCTACTTACTCAAGGTGTTAGTATTGGAGAAATTTTTTTATCTGAAAATGTGCTGCTTTTTTTTTTTTTGGTCAAGTTGGGGTTCTTTACTGAAATTTTTCATGTTTGCAGAGTTGGAGGGACACTGAAAACCCAAGAGGCACGTCTGCTTCTACAACACATAGCCATATATTACATTTCATTATTAGTCTATGCTAATGGACTTAAGGGTATACTTGGAAATGAGGAAGGACAATAATAGTACTTATGTTTTTCTTTCTAAAATTCTGGTTTATTTGTTGTGAACCACTTACCTTGTCACCCTTGTACCCAGGGATTCCCTAGTTTAAGAGGAGAAATCAAAAAGTAAAGTAAGATATATAGAACAGCATTAGATAAGATAAGATATTACAGAGTAGCATTAGAGGAAGTACTAGGTATTTTTCACATACAAAGTACAACAAATCACATCTTCAAGTCTTGGAAATAGGACCACATAAGTGCCAGGTATTTTACATCTCCTGAGCTTGGGAACCAACGGCGACGAAGGAGAAGAATCAAGCTCTGTTTCCCTATTACAGTTTATTTTCAGTTCCAGATTCTTGTCCCTCAAATCCAATTTCTTACCCTTTGGATCAAAACTGAAGGAGAGAAAGACACTGAAAGTCGTAGTGAACACGATGACCATAACAGTGCTCTCAAACTGTTTCATTGACTTTTAAACTATAAGTTATTGCAGCTGAATGTTTCCCTGGGTGTGTTTGAGAAACTGGCTTTGAAATTAGCTAATGTCCTTTAGAAAATTCACAAATGTCGGTATCCATCAGGGTCCTCCCTTCAAATTCAGTCTAGAATATATAATGTCAAGGAAATGAATGGTTCTTCTATCAACCCTAATGAGTCAGTGACCTTTGAGTTATTGGCTTTTATCTCATGCTAAGTGAGAAGCCAGCACCTCCACTGTCTTCTGAGTCACTCATGGGAATCCTAAGAAGCCCTTTCCACTGTGCCATTCTCATAAGCCCTCTAAGAGGCACTATTCTGGGTATTAAATGAGCTGGGAAATTGCCAACTCCAAGAAACAGTAAGTCTTTTCCATCATTATCCTACGACTATATTTTTCAAGGATAAAATAGAATCATAAGACTTATTTAATACAAGCTGGAGAAACCAGTGGCATAAACAAGCTAATACGTCATGTGACCATGAATCCTACAGAAATTTTATTTCATCTTGTGTATAACTTTTCCAAATAGAAACTTCAGAGAGAAAATAATACTTCTTTCTAAATTAATAGGCGCTGAAGAATAGAAAATGAAAGTTGAGTTGGTCAAAGATAGAGTGACAGCGTGATTTAACAAAATGTAGAAATACTTGTTCACGCCAGGCGCACACCTTTAATCCCAGCACTTGGGAGGCAGAGACAGGCGGATTTCTGAGTTCAAGGCCAGCCTGGTCTACAGAGTGAGTTCCAGGACAGCCAGGGCTACACAAAACCCTGAGGTTTTTTTGAGGCTACAGGTCTCAAAAAAACAAAAAAGAAAAAAAACTTGTTTGTTCACATGAATTGATCAATTACTAAGATTATGTTTAAAATTAAAGACAGTTAATTTGATATTTTCTGCAAAAATTGTCTTCATTTATCAGCAATAGTAATAGTGTAGACTTCCAATCCCAGAACACACAAACATTTGAAATTTTTGCGGTTACTTCATTCTGAAAGACAGAGAATTAGATTTTGGAAGGAGCCTATAGAAGTCTGCAGAAACAAGGGAATGCTACTTTCTTCGTGGTATATTCTTGTTTTCTTCTGAAAATCCTGGTCACTTTATCTGTTGGTCATCTCTTCAGGACTTTGTTTGCTTCTTTGTTTCTTTTTCCCTTTCAGGACCTTTTAACCACTGGCTTTAAAATATTGCAATTTAAAATATCCAAAATTGCAACATCGATCTCTGTCAAGTTTGTCTGACTTTCTTATTTTGGCTAATAAAACTTTTCTGATTTCTGGCACTATCATATCATATATCTCATCAAGTTACAGGGTCAAAATTTTATAATTATCTTAATTTTCTCTCTCCTGCTTGTCCCTACTCCAAGTTCCTTTCAGAGTTAATCTTCCTCTCACAGCTTTTGAGGTATTCACCTCAGCTCATGTTTCAAGAGCTTTCTTTCCATTACCTAGAAAAAAATACCAGCATTGGTAACCTAGAAGACAACTAAGAAATACTTCCTGAACAAATAGCACAACTTCTGAACCGACCCCTATTCAAAGGATGAAGCTTTCCATCAGATGCTTCCATGGGGTTAATTAAAAACCCCAAGAGACCAGCTTCGTGAAACTCCAATTCTGAGACTGACTGTTCACTCAAACCGAGGGACTAAGCAAAAAGACAGCACAACACAACATTGTTTTTCACCATAGGTGTTGCTATTTGCTATCCTCACTGCAATGCCCAAGCGAATATAAAATTAACAATGTATTAATGTACCATAATTGGTTTCCAAGCCATCTCAAGAAGCCAAACAGATTCTTGTGCCTCAAATACAATGTATTACCCTTTGGATCAAAACTGAAGGAGAGAGTATACACTGAAAGTCATCGTGATCACAATGGCTATAATGGTACTCTCGAGCTGTTACATTTTTGTCAATAGAACC